AAGTCAGACGCTCAACCGACTGAGCCACCCAGGCGCCCCCTACTAAGAGCAATTTTGTAGAGTCATGATAGTGTCAGGAAAACAGGAAAAATAAAATCTCGAATTCTCCGTTAGGAGATTCATTCATTCATTCATTCATTCATTCATGTTAGCACCTGAGTACCCTGTCTGTTCCAGGCACTGAATACACAACGGGATGACATTCTAGGTGGATGGAGGCAGACGAGGAAGGAAGTCACACAAGGAATAAAGAAGCAAAATACAGTATCTTAGAAAGTGATAAATGCTATGGCAAAAAAAAAAAAAGAAAAAGAAAAATCACACAGGGAATTTTAAATAAGTGGTCAAAGACGGCCTCCCTGAGAAGGTGACGTTTGAACAAAGCCATAAAGGAGGCAAGAGGGATGAGCCGTGTGGGGATCTGAGAGAAGAGAGTTCCAGGCAGAGGGAACAGCCAGTGCAAAGGCCCTGTGGTGAGAACATGGCCGGTCACGTTCAAGGAACAGTGAATCATTCGATCCCTATAACAACCCTCTGATTCTAACACTGTTATTGCACCCCTTCTGCAGATGAGAAAACAGGCACAGAGAAATAACCGCCCTGAGACCATCCAGCTAAGCAAGTAACAGAGCCGAGTTTTGAACTGGGTTGGCCCCATCCCAGACCTCCGGGCCCTAGAATATATTCACCCCGAAATCTTAGATTCAGAAGGCAGGACAGCCCGTGGCCCGGAGCAGACCCGGGCTCTGTAACTGAGTTTCAGTTGGCTGTCTCTCGGTTTCCTCATCTGAGAAATGAGTCACGGAGGTGGACCTACCTCATCGGTTTGGGGCGGAGGGGAAGGAGGCCTTGAGGAGTTGGTGTGTGTAAATCACGTGGCACAGACAAAGGGCTCAGGTAGACCGTAGACGATCCCGCATAATGTCAGACCTGACCCTGTGGCTGTCTGCTGAGTCTTCGTGGGCTGGCTGGCCCTACCCAGAGCCCTATCTGGCATTGACACAACAGGAAGAGCAGAGGGGAAGTTGGGACAACTTCTGCCCCCTCCACCCCGCCAACTAGCTGCCAA